GTGTGATTTTCCATTCAAGTCTAGGAAGTCTGGGTTGGCAGTTCCCTTGTGAAGATAAGTAGGAACGCTAGCTCCCTGGTAATGAATAGATTAAATTTAAACGGTTAGCTTATACCTGAGAGGATCTGAAAGGAAACAAAGATTGTATTGTGCTGAAGTCAGCAGTGGGTGTACGGTTTGACTAATCCTGGCCCAACCTGCATGGACCCGTGCTGCTTTCATGTGCTGAGGACAAAGAATGAGTGAGCGGAAGCTTGTATGGCACAAGCCCCACAGTCTTGTGGGAAAAGGCCAACTCACCTCCCATGCTGCTGATGTTCACCAGCCTCCCCTTGGATTTCCGAAGAAGAGGCAGAAATGTCTTCGTGATCTCCACAGGTCCAAAGAAGTTCACGGCCATGCACTGTCTGTATTCGGTCATGGGAATGAGCTCCCCATCAACCGGGAAGCCAAGGACCCCAGCATTGTTGATCACAGCCCACAGGCCTAAGGATACAAAGGAATGATGTTACCATGCTATACCTGAGCCCATTGTTGCAGCCACTGTGTCAATCCATCTCATTGAGGGTCCTCCCCTTTTTCTCTGACCCTCTACCCTCCCCTTTTTCTCTGACCCTCTACCAAGCATGATGTCCTTCTCCAGGGAATGGCCCCTAGATTCACGCTTCATACCTTCCATTGTCCAATTATCAATGGATATTTGCAGCTGTTTTTCCCATTTTGAGTTATGTCACATCAGCACACGGAGGTCCCAAAAGCTTTACTTCATCTATGTCATTAAGGTCGAATTTATTTTGAGGACACAGCTCTTCCCCAGTTGTATTTTGAGTGTCTTCAACCTGAAGGCCCCATCTTTCAGCACCATATCGGACAATGTTTCAGGGCTATTCATAAAGTTTTCCAGTAATAGTGTTCACTGCTATTCATGAAGTTTTCACTGGCCACTTCTTTGAGAGTGCCTGGCTCCTCCTTCTTCCAAGTTGGTCTTAGTCTGGAAGCTCTGCTGAAACCTGTCCACCATTGGCAACCCTGCTGGTATTTGAGAAACCGGTGGCATAGCCTCCAGCTTCACAGCAACACACAAGCCACCACAGTGCAACAAACTGACAGACGAGTCGTGGAATGATAGAGAAGATGTAATACAAAAACTCCAGATGTTTTGGGGAGATCTGGAGCAGAGGTGAGTGACCTTGGTCCTCTTTCCCTGGGAGAAGCAAGGTTTACTCGCTCCAAGTGTGTTGAGCTAGACAGACCTGCAACAGAATCTCTTCATTCCCAAGTGTTTCTCCATGTGTGGTCCCCGGCCCAGCATCATCATCCTTTCTCTAGATCAGACACTGTTGTTGGGGCCCAGCATCTATGATTTAATGAACCCTCCAGGTGATCCTGACGTACGTTCAAGGCTGAGAACCACTGGGACAGGGACAGCTGAATGGGCCTCAGGGCTGGAAGGGGCATGCATGGACAGAGCAAGGAAGGCACCAGACCTAACACTGACTCTCCAGTGACCACAAGGAGGTCCACCTCCATGACAAGTGGACAGAGCATTGGACATCAACAGGGGCCAATTTGAGGCATTGCCAGTCAAATGTCCCATCCCCAGGAATTTGCATGCTACCATGGGAAAATGAGGAGAAGCTCAAAATGATTGAAATGATTTTTGCCATTTGGTTGAATAATGGCTTAAAATAGAAACTGAATTGAGTTATAGAAAATAAAGTTAACATTGCTGGAGTCTGTAGACGGACACTGATGCACATTAATGGTTGTGAGCATTAAGTGAGGTGGTGCCTGGCAAGGGGGAGAGCTTAGCAGTGATGACGAAGATGGTGGTGGGTAGAAAGGATGTCTCTTTCAAAGCACAGGATGGATTTAATTCCCAGCCTGTTGCACAGCTGCGAGTGGTCAATGTGCTGGCAACAGCTTGAGAATGCCCTAGAACAGAGGCTGGCAAACATTTTCTGCAGAGGGCCTAATAGTAAATCGTTCAGTTTTTGCAGTCTGCACTGTTTTTGTCGCAACTACTCACACTTCACCACTGAAGCACAGAAGTAGTCACAAGCAATGTGTAAATATACGGGCAGAGCTGTGTTCCAATAAAACTTTATTTGTGGGCACTGAGATTTTAATTCCACATAATTTTCATTCTTCTGATTTTTTAAAATACCGTTAAAAAATGTGAAGTCCATTCTCAACGTGCAGCCCATACAAAAACAAGCAACAGATTATGTTGTTGTTGTTATTTACTGTCGAGTCAGACCTGACTCATAGCAACCCCTCCTTGGGTTTCTGAGCCTCGGAAGGAAGGTTGGGCAATCTACTTCCATAGTGATACTGCCTCGGAAACCCAAGGAGGGGTCGCTATGAGTCGAGCCCGACTTGACTGCATGTAACAACAATCACTACGGAAGTAGATTGCCCCATCTTCCTTCCGAGGTGGGTTTGAACCAACAGCCTTCTGGTTAGCAGTCAAGTGCCTTAGGCACTATGCTATCAGAATTAACTAACCTATAAAGATAGAGAACAGACTAGCAGTTGCCAGGATTAGGCTTGGAAGGTAGTTAAAGGTGTGTGTCAACTTGGCGGTGGTTTTGAGTGACTAGGAAGCTTGTTGTTGTTGTTATGTGCCGTCGAGTCGGCCCCGACTCATAGCAACCCCTCCTTGGGTTTCCGAGGCAGTATCACTACGGAAGTAGGATTGCCCAACCTTCCTTCCGAGGAGTGGCTGGTGGGTTTGAACCGCCAGCCTTCTGGTTAGCAGTCAAGTGCTTTAGCCACTATGCTACCAGAGCTCCTGACTAGATGTAGTTATCCCCCATGATGAGATTGTAATCATCTTTATGGTAGAATCTGCTGCGAGCAGCTAGGGAGCTGCATTCAGGGTGTGGCCTGCTTTCAGGATATAAGGAGAAGTTTTTGGAACGTTCTTAAGCTTTTGGTGTATCCAAATCCTGCATATGGCCGAGTCTTCATCTCACTGGCCTACCACGTTGCCTGCTAATTTTTAGGTTGTTCTGGAACTTGAACTGGGGGCCCTCCAAGTTGTCTGTTAATCTTGGAACTGTGCCATTTTACTTGTTGATCTTGGGTTTGTCAACCTCAGCAGCCAGCAACTATGTGAGTTGGAAAAAGCCTCCAGCTCTAGTGGGCCTGGAATAGGAGCCAGAGCTGAAGCCCAAGGTTGAAAGGCTTTCACCAAGCCTCTAGAACCAGCACTTTGAACTTGGACTTCTAGCCTTCTGAACTGTTAAGAGAATCGATTTCCATCTGTTAAAGCCATCCACATGTGGTATTTCTGTTAAAACAACACTTAAGAGAGCCAAGACACAAGGGTAGTGTGGTAGTTATGTTTGTGTGTCAAATTGGCTGGGCCTGGTTGAGTGGCTGGGCAGCTGGATGTAGTATTCTCCATGAGGAGACTAGTAATCAACTCCATGGTGGAATCTACAGTGAGCAGCTGAGTAGCTGCCTTAGGCAGGTGGTCTGCTTCCTGTATTTAAGCAGAAGCCTTAGGGAATGGTCTCTACCCTATGGCATGCTTGGATCCTGCATGTAGCCATGTCATTGCTCAGCAGCCTGCTGTGCTCTGCTGACCTTGGGACTTACAATGGAATTAAATTAATGGCCTTCCATATGATTTGGTAACATCAGGACTGTGCCTTTTTGCTTGTCACCCTTGGGTTTGTCCGCCTCAGCAGCCATCAGCTGTCTGAGTGAAGAAACGCCTCTAGCTCCAGTGGGCCAGGAGCAGGAGGCAGAGCTCGACTCCAAGGTTGAGGGGCTTTCACCTAGCCCCTAGAGCCTGGCACTTTGAACTTGGACTTAAAGCCTCCAAACTGTGAGAGAATAAACTCCTCTTTGTTAAGGCCGTCTGATTCGTGGTATATTTCTGTCAGAGTGGCACTAGGTGACCAGAACAGGGAGGCATAAGAGAATCCAGTGCTGATGGCATCATTCTGTATCTTGATTGTGATAAAAATACACACACATATGCACACACACGTAAGTGCATGCGTCACTGGGAAATGTGAATTTCACCTCCTCCTGTATCATACGTTTCCTGAGCACTTATTATGTGCCAGAGACTGTGCTTAATGTTGAGTGATTGCAAAACAGGAGCCAACTCTAGTGCTCACCTCGGCATGAGATACTCATGCGAATGCTGCAGATATATCAACTTGGCTAATCCTTCAATACTCAGAGTTATTACTCTCAGCAGTAAAGAGGACATAAGCTGGAAGTGCCCGAGGCCTCAAGGGAAACCCCAGAGCGTAACCAGCCCTGGAGAAAGCAGGGCTAAGAAATAGAGACTGGATACCAATGACATTGCTTAAGTGGCTGAAGCCAACTGAACTTTCTAATTATATAATACACTCCTTCACTTGCTTTAGCAGTTTCTAATTGGGTTGTATCACTTGCATCTGAAAGAATCCTGATGGAAACAAGGTTCTTGCTCTCCAGGAGCCTGGTGGTGAGAAGTGGGACATGGACAAATAGTTAAAACAGCGCACAGGTAAGTGCAAAGGATACTGAGTGAGTGCCCACAAGAGAAAACGAATAATGATGGGTTACCAGGAAGGTCATGCAAAGAATATTATGTAGGAGCTGGGTCTCCTGTGAGGATAAAGTCTGCAGTTGGACAAAGGCAAGAGTCTTAGCAAAAGGGAGTGGCGGCAAGAGGGACATGTCAGCAAAGGTGTGCGTGCAAAGGTGTGAAATTAGCACATTATGTTCTTTAAAACGTTCAGAATTCACTGAGTGTACCAGTGGGTGGATTGAAAGTCTGGCAGGGCCCATTATCCTTGTCATCCTTACAAGGAGTTTAGATTTTATTTGACAGCTGATAGGGACTCAAAGAACCATTAAACGAGATAAAGGAAAACACCTACCACAGGCTTGGCTCATGGGAGGAGCCCAATAAATATTGTTGTTGGATCTCTGGGACACGGATGGCATTGTAAGATATCCACACTATGAAGATTACTCTCCACTAGGAAAGCAATAGGAAAGGGGAGACAGGGTAGAAGGAAGTCATGGTGGTAGCCCACAAGAGGGACGTTGAAGTTTGCGTGGGCTGGGATATTAAATATCTAGGAATAGAAGTGACAAGACTCAGGACCAATCAGATGCAGGGACTGAGGATAAGCTGGGAGTCTGAGTGGCCTCCAGGTTGGTTTGTGTGGCCTACTAGGTCACAGTGTCACTGTCTAAGCCACGGAAGGCAGGAGGTTTAACTTGCAGACTGGCAGCTTGCGGAAAAGATAATGAGAGCTGTTTTTGACAAGCTGAGGCTGAAACCTCTGGGATAGAAGTGAAGATGTTTGGTAGACAGTTTTATTCACACATCGTTCTGGACCTCAGGAGGGGATATAGACCTAGAAGTGGCTAGCATAAGTTGCAGTGGGTCTCACTTTGAGCCAAACATTAACATCATCTGAGGAGTTTTAAAAAATACTGATGCCTGAGACGTCCTCCTGGAGGCATTG